GCGAGGTACAAAGAGGTGGATGGCCTGTACCCGCGGGCGGAACCTCGGGTAGGGGCCTACCTGTGGGCCTACCCGCGGGGTACACCTTGGTGTTGTTTGGGGATTTGTTCCCCGTGATCCTTTTGATTCGGTATTTGATTTTTTGACTTCCCGATGTTCTTTTGTGGAACTATTTGAGTGTCTTCTTGATGTTTCATATGTCTAGAACTATATGGTAGGATTCCATGTAGGTTTTGGTGTCGTGAATCTTGCTAAGTGTTCAACATTGTGTTTCGTTGAACCATGATGAGTCTTGTGTGTTCTTCGGAACTATGTTTGATTTACCCGTTTGATAAGCATGCTAGTTCAGTGTTTAATGCTAGCGTGTGTGTTGTTTGTACCTTCTTATTGGTTGATGATAACTTGTGTTATTCATCGTTGTTGCTGTTGGGCTGTGACCCATTCCTTGATTGAGTATGGTTTCATATCTTCGTTGTGATCCGTTGATTGATTCCTGTTGTGGTGTGACGTGTGTGTAGCTTTACCTGGATTGCACGATTAGTGGTATGGGATACTAGTCACCAAGGTATTGCAGTGGTCCTCGTGGTGGCCATGACGTGATTATGGAGTTGTGACCTGTGTGTCAGGTTCACGTATTTCTTGGGAGGCGTGTGTCACCGTGTGTGTGATCGGTACCCTCGTGTACTATGAAATTGGTGGTCTTGTTGGTGGTTTATTGGTGGGGGACGACGGTCCCAGGAGGGAAAAGGTTGGACTAAGATGTACAGGGGTCCTGGAGGTAATGGTTGGAAGAAGATATAAGGTTGGGGGTAGCCATAAGGTTGGAACCGGGCATAAGGAAGGCATATCAACTCGTGATGGGTGATGTCACGAGGGCTTGTGTAGCCGTTGTTGTGAGTTCTCTTCTTGTGACGTGTGTAGTCACAAAGGCATGTGTTGCCTTGGCATGTGTTGCCGTGTGTTGTGTCTTTATTCCTTTGAGTTATGCATGTCGGGTATTAATCTATTGTGTGACGATAGATTATGCCTTGAGACTTCTTGTGAGTCGTTGTTGTTCTTTGTAGTCTTGGGATGTGTTCCCGTGTTCTTATTGAGAGTGTTTGAGTCTTGTGTTGACTATTACTCTTGGTTTTTGACTTATATATATGTATTCCGTTTCGAAAATGGCTTTACAAACTTATATCTTATCTATGTATGATATTTCACATGTATTGGTGGGTTACCAGCATTATTCGCTGACCGGGCGTCGTCCCATGTTTTATATGCTTCTTTCAGGTGATGCTTAGACGAGTGCGCGGTCTAGTGCCAGCTAGTATAGCTCCCCTTTTTATGTTTTGTGGCCTGTGAGCCAATCTTGACGTAGTACTCTATTGGATGGTTGTAGATTTTAAACAATGCAGATTTAGCCAGTGCGTTCACCCTTGGGTGAGCGTGGCATAACACCCCGTTTCCTTGTTTTATACATATCTTCTCTTTCAGTCTTCCGCTGTGTTTAGTGTTTTGGTTTAAGTTATCTGCATGTTTTAAGGCTTTAAATAGCACGGTTTTTAGGGGGTGTTACATGTGTTTCCTTTGTAGACCACTAATCTCTTCCTTAGACTCCTAGACTCCTCCTTGAGGTTCCTCCTCACCCCAATCTTCTCAACAAAAACCAAAACCACACAAAGAAGAACCACACTTAGATAAAGACTATGCAAAACTAATAAAAAATAACAACCAAGTTAAGATCTTACCCTTCCTAGTGCCTTTGTGGTGGAAATGTGAAATTTTGGAGAGATCCCTTGCAAGGAAGAAGGTGGTCTTTTCTTGGCTTGGGAAGAAAGCTACTATTCTAGAGAGAGGGTGGAGAGTTTAGAGTATTTTGCCAAATGATAGAATGAAATGTGATTTTGCTAGGGAAATGCATGAATGCCAAGAAAGTGTGAAAAGACAAGTTTACCCTTACTAAAAGGCTAGGAAGACAAAAAGGCCATGTACGACTTGTAAAGCTCAAAGTCCTTTTTATTGACTAAATCAATTGACCAAGGGATTGGTCAATTTAAGTCCTTTGACTTTTAATTGAAGAATTGGAAGGGAAAAATTCATGAATAGGCTTATAATTAATTTCATAATTAATTCTATTTAAGGATTGGATTTTCTCGGGGTATCACAGTCATTCTCCCCCGCGACGAGATCAGCATGGTCACTTCCTTGATCCGATAGACTCGGCTGCAAAATCAGATCCGTCGCATCACACCCGGTCACACTCTCTGCATACGTCTTCCTTGGTACCACTGGCGTCTGGATCGACTCCGGCACCCCATATGGCCCCGCCGATGGCGCTGCTGATGACCCAACGGTGTTCTCCGCAGCTGTAGCCGGCAACGATCGCTCTTCTCCGCCTTCCACCATCTCACCTAGTGGCGTTTCCCGGACTATCTCCACCCCATCCGTCATGCTTGCGTCCAGACTAGCGATCAATTCATTCCTTTTGGATTTCTTGGTGCTTCGTTCCAGAAGATCGTAATCTTCGGTAGAACGTTGAGTCGAGAGCTTCAATTCTCCATTCTTAATCCTTCAATAAACATATTTTATGTTTTCTATTCTTCGATTCTCTAATTTTTTTAAAAATTGAAAATGAAAAATTTTGGTCCCCGAAATTTGATTGGTAACAAGAAAGAATACAAATAAAGATGAAAAGCAGTGAATAATTGCCCCAGAAATTAAAAATTTAAGAGGCGAAATTTGGCCGGAATTCAGGGCCATTTATGTAATTTCGAAAATTAAACAATGTGGTGCGAAGATAAGGGAAAGCACAGCCATGTCAGGGATCCGTGTGACAGCACACCGAACAGTGGTACGCCGTTGGATCTGTGCGGCAACAACAGCTCCCCGACTGTCCGATCCTCTCACTTTCCTCTCTTCCGATCTGATCCTCGACTGTTCTTTCTTCTTCCCTTTTAAATCCCTTCCCCGTCTCGAAATTTTTTGCTTACATCCAAACTTTCTAAATTCGTCTTCTCTCCTCTCCCGCTCTCCAATTTCAATTTTTCAGCGCTTTTTCTCTCTCTCTTTACGTCACTTTCTATCTCAAGCTTTGTTTATGGCTTCTCCCGACGATAATCCCGTTGATCCTCCCCCGCCGTCGTCTAATCAGCCGCCTCCCACTCTCCCGCTTTACCCTGAGGTGCTTGCCGTAATGAATTTAATTTATTTTTTTTTTTCTGGGAGTTTTCATTGTGATTGGATTTGTTTTGGGCAGATGATAATGGCGGCGATTGAGGAGCTGAACCACAAGAATGGGTCGAACAAATCGACCATTGCGAGAAAAATCGAGGCGACGTACGGCGCCTTGCCGCAGGCTTTTCACACACTGTTGTCTCACCATCTGAACAAGATGAGGCAGAGCGGGCAGCTCCTTTTTGTCAAGAACAACTACATGAAACCCGATCCCAATGCTCCGCAGCTTCTCAGTCGCGGTCGCGGCCGTCCTCCGAAGCCCAAAGCTCCGCCGCCGCCGGGGTACGTTCCTCCTACCCCTCGGCCGCGTGGCAGGCCGCCGAAAGCCAGGGATCCGCTTGCTCCGGCCGCGTCGCCCAAGAAGAAAAGTGCGGAATCCGGTGGCACTGGGAGGAAGCGGGGAAGGCCTCGAAAGTACCCTAAAACTAGCGTTACCCCCGCCGTGGCGGCTCCCTCTAGTGATGCCCCGCGACGGAGAGGGCGGCCGCCTAAGGTGAAGCCGGCCGTGGCTGCACCGGTAGGAGCTTAATAATGATAATCAGAAATAATGATAATAGTTTTAGGAGTGTAGTGCTGATCAATTATCGTCTTCATTTTCAAGTATAACATTTTTCTATATTTCACGTTTTATTCCTTTGAAATCTGGGATTCTGGGTTGGTTAATTTGATGATAGGTTTTCCAGTTGTGCTGTTGTAGCTTGTAACTGTGAACTGTTTACTGTAATTTGGGGCAATGTAAATCTTCAATGAGAGGAAATTGGAGGCTTTTTTGGGCCCATTTCTTTTCAGTGTTCTTTCTTTACTCTTTACTTCACCCAATTGAAGGAAAAAGTGAAGGAGTTGAGATAGATTCCATTTTTGTTTCTTTTTTATTTTAATTCTGTGCTTTTTCTTAGCATTTGCTTTAATGCAAGGTCTTCTGAATGAGTTGATTCCAGGTTGCCAATCAGACCTTAAGAGGCACAAAACACTGTTATACAAAGATATGGCTTTTCTAAGAACCCAATCGAACCCCATCTTGTTGGAGTTTTGGTTGATAGCTGTATCAATCAATATTCATTTTGAGCCAACTTTGAGGAGGTTTAGACCAATTTGAAGGATAGAGGGCATTCCTTGGAGAATGGTTTTGAGCATTTTGCCAATTATACAGGAAGCCTTTAGCTCTTTCGGCAATAAAAGGCGCCGGGGTAGCTTTGTTGTGCCAGAGTTGATCATTTCTAGCAAAGGCTCTAGCAGATCATAGTGAAAATACAAGCATCATCCACTGCAAAAGTAGAGAGATTATGAAGGATCCAATCATAGAGCAGAATAAAACCATTTAAGGCGACAGAAATTCTTCAGAGTCCAATAGTTTGTAGCAGTTGCACAATCAATAAAAATATTGAGGGAGGAGTCAATACCAGCATCATAGAGGTGGCAAGAAAGGGGACATTTACATGTTTGGAATGCAATAGCTCAACTGTTGGGAGGTAGTGGGAGCAAAGTTGCCAGAAGAAACTCTTGAGTTTTGGAGGCAGAGGGAATTTCCAAATAACAAGGCAATTCAAGTTGTGGGAAAAAAGGGAATGTGTTGGTCTTGAAAGAGGTAAAAAGTTTAGAAGGAGATTGAATAGACTTTTTCAAATTTTTTACTTAGAAAGTGTGATCATGATTCCCAACAGCCGATGGAGTTGGGGTCAAATGAGAAACTACCCATTCACGTGGAGGGGTCCATCACCCCTTCTGGCATAGAGGTGGAATCAAACTAAGACTCTTTGGTCGCAGCTGTAACAGCAGGTAAAATGTCCTTTAAGGACGAGCTCAATGTGAATATGGCATTTTTCGGATTTGGATGCCTGGATGACCCATCAAAATATGAATCAGATGATGATGAGGTGAAGGACGAGGAAGTGGATAAGGACTGCCCTACCATTCACCTAACTAAGGCCGAAAAATCTCAGCTAAGGATGCCATGGATTCAGTCCCTAATCATCAAACTCTGGGGAAGGACTGTCAGCTACAACTATCTCCTACACAAGCTCAAGGCCATGTGGAATATCAAATCCCATTTTGACCTCTTAACTCTGGACAACAACTATTATCTCGTGAGATTCTCCTCAGCAATGGAATATGCGCTAGCGAAGCAGCAGGGGCCGTGGATGATCCTCGACCACTACCTCATTGTTAAGGAGTGGGCTCCCAATTTGAAAACCGATAAGGTTGGGAAGAAGATTGGAAGACCGATAAAAGCTGATATGAAAACCATGGCCGAAACTAGAGGAAGGTTTGCAAGGCTGCTGGTTGAATTCGACATAATGAAGCCACTCCTGGCTAAGTTTAAGGTAAGAAACAGCGTGAGGATTATTGAGTCCGAGGGCGCTCATCTGATTTGCTTTCATTGTGGTGTCTATGGCCACTGGAAGGAAGCATGCCCAAACGTCGGAGGTTCATCGGAGATCCAGGGTGACGAGGAAACAACGGACAGAGAAGGTGGCGTGTCCGACGTGAGTTGACTATTGGGGAAGCCTGCTCTCACCAGACCTGAGCTAAGAGAAGGGTATGGAACGTGGATGTTGGCCAAGAAAAAATAAAGAGCAATACCATGGACAAAACGAGAGGAACCAAAAAGCTGAGTCAAATGACGTCGAAAAGACTGGGAAGCAACCAGTCAAGGGAAAACTAAAGTCAACCAGCTCCCTCATGTGGGCCAGCCGTCCAGCTTCAGCGTCCTAAATGGTCTTAATGAAGAGAATGAGGAATCTCATGTTAACTTAGAGGAGCTCAATTCTTCAGCCCGACTCGAGCCCTCTCTTGGACAAAAAGACAAGGGAAAGAAAGTTTTAGCCTCATCTCAGACAAACCCGGAGAAATCATCCACTGCTATAATGCCAGAGCAAAAATAAAACACAACTGAATTTTGAATCACACACCCAATAAACTTCATTTTATTGACCAAACTTCTTGTACATCAACTGGCAAAAGGATAAAAAAGAAAGAATGAATACAATGAATATTCTAAAGCCAAAACTTTTACCTAAACTAAACTAATCATCTGCTTGCCAAAGATCTTCAACCTCTTCTTCTTCCTGTTGCGCTAATCAGTCCTTCCTTATATGTCCTCAGCTTATGCCCACTTCTCTCTTTAAGTGTCAGCATCAAGATCCAATGGGATTGTTGGGATCTCTGCCTCTAGAAACCCAGGCCATATGCTCTTCCTAGACATGCAATTTTTGATCTGTTGGATTTTCTCAATGTTATGAAGGTGATGTTTCCTTTCCTCAAGAGTTTCTACTTCTAACTGCTCTTCAAGCATTTTCCTGCCTCGCTATGTTCTAAAAACATTGAATCCTTCTTTGTACGAGCCTCTAGCTCAGCTTAGAAATCTTTCTTCCTCTGTTCTTAAACGTTCTCCAGCAATCTCAAAAGCTTCCATCAATCCCTTATCGGCAAATATATTCCATGCTAGCTCACAGTTTTCGCCAAAGCGCTTGTAGTTGAACGCTAAGTCAAACACTTTAGCCCCTCAAGCTATTTCCTCTTGGGCTTCATTGACGAAGTCAATGTTTCCTTGCAGAGCCTCTACCCGCTGATCAATGGATGAATCAATTGACTAGTCGAGTAGGTAGATCTATTGGCTCTTTTCCTTTTACTCCTGAGGGGAACATCAGTTGGCTCGGGTTCTTTTCGAATTGGTGTTGTAAACACTAAGGGCAGAGGATCAAACTCAATTTCTTGCATAAATTCCCTAGCCATTTCCTCACTCTTGCAAATACATCTGCTACTGTGCTGAAGGGCTCAACTAGAACACTTGGCTTAGATGGTTCTGCTGGCACATCCTGAGCTAATGGTGTGACACCCCGAAATTTATCCTAATTCCAAAAACAACTCCTACGAATATTTTTCTATGTAGAATGCTAATTCTTCTATTTAAAAATATCCTAGGCTAGTAATTACTTTGAGCCCAAATATTTCTAAGTCCTATATATATATATATATATATATATATATATATATATATATATATATATATGATTGAATCCTAGGTGTGGACTTCATTATATAAATAATCTTTGTATAGAATATATTTAATTCTTCTAGCCCAAGTCCATATATTATATCTATATAACCCACCCATATAATAAAAGCCCACTACCTTAGTATTGAAACCCTTATTGTATACATATCAATACATATACATACCTTATCCTTACAATATAACCTAGACAAGACTTACACATTCTCTTCCTTCTCTATCCTAGCTTTCACGCCACATTCATCATCTCCTCATAACAAAAATATATTTCATTTCCTACTCAAGAAAACAAGACCAAGATTCCACCTTTCCATTTAATAAAGCTTAGGAGTGGTAAGATCAAGCCTTCTACATCTTTTCTATTCAAGATCTCTTCACTTTCTCTAAATCTTTATTCTTTTATTATGTTGGTTTTGGGGTTTTAAAGAAGATCAAGTGGATGGAGACATGCTAGGATGAGCTAGGAGGAGCTTGGTGTGATTTGCTAGCTAGAAAGGTAACCCTATGTCAATGAAAACTATTTTAAACTCCATATTGTGTATTCTTGATGTTCTTGATGAAGTTGAGCATAATCTTGTGTTTATGCTTGTTTTAGAGGTTGTATGTTAGGTGTATACTTGAGTTGATGTGCCATTTCTTCATTCCCAAGCTATATTTGTTGTTGGTTTGATTTTGGTTGAGTTTTGTTGAGTTTGGAGTTGATTCTTGCATTATGGAAATTTTCCCGAAACCCTACTGTTTCTACAGGATTTTAGCCTTGCGGGAGTATTCGACAGGCCTCAGCACACCCGCCGAACCCACCCGGAAGAAGGCCGGAGGTGTGAGTGGCGGGGACTGAAGGTCTCGCCAACACCACCATGTTGTTCCCACGGGGGAACATGGCGGGACCTTTGACCCCCTCCAGCATCCCCGCTGGTTCGGTTGTTGTTTGGCTTCTTGGATTATTATGTTGTATCCCGTGCACTTGTGAGTATTTGTTGATGTTACGTAAGTCTAGAGCGCTGTATTATGAGCCTATTGATTAGGATGTGAGTCTTGATTCGTTGTAAAGATCCAATCTTTATATTCGTTGGATTATTGTTGAATTCTATGTTGAGAATCCTTTGTATTTCTATCTTGAGAATCCTTGTGATTATCCTATTGACTCGTATGCTAGTAATGTTGCTTCTTGATACTAGTATGAGCTCTTTTGGTATCCATTGTTTGATTCTTGGATTGATTTTTGACTTGAGCTTACCTATTCGTTGTAATCTTTCTTTGGAATATAGCTCTGACATGACAACGCGGCGCATATACCCTGACCTAAGCCTTTAGCCAGCAAATCTAAGGGGTTGTCCGTGCCTTTAGCACGATGACTGAGCACTCGTTGTGCTTTCCGCCAACAATTCATTTCCACCAATCACAATCTCATCTTCATCAGTCACATCAATCATTGCGCAATGATCACAACACCCATCATCATTCAATCAATCAACATCCAATCAAAAATAATAATCAAGACATAATGACAACGATACGCACTACACATAAATTCCTAGAATGGTACATAAAACATCATACGAGACTCATAAACATCAAAGGGGTACAACGGGACACGGGGAAACGTCAAACGGGGGAAAACATCCCGCTGCACACCTACTTTCCAGTGGGTGGTGGACCACCCGCCGGTGGGCAGCCCCTTTTCCAGCGGGTGCCCGGCAGGCAGACCACTGCCCGCTGGAACTGGGCGTTCCGGGCAGCGGGTAGGTGGTGGGGATTCATCCCCCCAATGGTACGAGGGTAGAAATCCAGGTCGGTGTTTGTTCGTGAAACTCAAAACCATGCCCAAGCACATTCTAACACGTAACAACAACATCACGGATTCAATTAACGAAGATTAAACAAAGAATCATCCCAATTACATTCTAACACGATTCCTAAACATGCCAAGACTCGACACCAATCACATAACGGTATATGAGTATCCAGAACCTCAAAAACATCAGGAAATCTATATGCAAAGCCCTAACGACAAGTCCTAAACTAGAATCAACACCCGAGTATGTATAAACCCGCCCAAGAATACCAAGAATATCACAATAACGAGATTCACGATATAAACCCTAGGGACAGGCTCTAGACATAATTAAATACAAGATCACACATATAATCAATCACAACATCAAGATCATCAAGATTACCAAATAAACACAACATAAACCCTAGGCAAAGCTCTATCAAGACTCAATCACAGAATCACACATATAATTATCAAAGGAGCCAATAATCAAGATATAGCAAGGAAAATAGGTTTTGTAAGACATGGGTTACCTCTTAGCCCTAATCAATATCCTTGGCTACTAAGGTTCTTCTCTAAGATCCTTCTCCAATTGATCTTTCTTGGTTCGATGGTGGGGAATTCCTTTGCTAGGTTTCCTCGGGGGGAATATCTCGCGTGATAGAATTAAATGTGGTTGGGTTTCTAAATGCTTTCTAATCCCATATATATAGATTCAGGAGTCCTAACTAGAGTCTAAATAGTAAAGGCCCACTTTCCCCATTCCTAACGGATTAAAGACTCGGTTGATGATAAGGGTCCGTAATCCATTGTGGAACACACTAATTAATTAATGGGAATTCTAATCCAATTAAATCCTTTTTAATTATACATTAACGGAATTAATTCCATAATTTGTCCGGATTCGGAGGCCGTAACACGGGGTGTTACACCCCCCTCCCTAACAAGAAGCTTTGTCCCCGAAGCTTAGGCACATATCACTCTTCACATTCTTAGATATGATGCAGTTTGATCTTTAAATTAGGGAAACGTAGGTTATGCTTGTTTTCTAATAAGTGTAGGGTGGGGGTTGATTAAGTCAGAAGGCAAGTAAGGGTTGAGATTTAGGTGTACCTTGGTGTCCTACTTCCGAGCTTGAAGCTCCACGTGCGCCAAACATGACCTCGATCGCTGCCACTCTCCTGTCCAACGACCTCGTCGCAAGAATCAAGGACGAGAATCCCTCATCCATCATCCGGTTCTGCCTCAAGAGCTGCACGAGGATACGCTCGTTGGTGGACCTCTCGTCTTTGTCCCCCGTGTTTTCCATTTCCTGTGCGGGTTCCGGTTGGCTTGGCTCACTCTCTTCTTCTTGCTCTTCTTGTTCCTACACTTTCTTGTAGTGCTCGTTTCATCTTCTTGTTCGAAATACCCAATTGGTCCACTAGCATTCTTTGCTCAGCCGGGGGTTTAAAGAAAATCTCCCCGAGGGTAATGTACTGTCCCTCTCCGACATGGTAGATGTCGTTGCGGCGGAGGTTTTGAGCATTGAAAACCATCCCACTCATGTGCCTGACTTCGGTCCGGCTTATGTCCACCCCTTTCCTTTCCATGGTCCAACTTAGGACCATCCCGTAGGGTAAACTGAGCCGGTTGCTAGATTTACAGAACTCTATATACTTCAACATGAGAGCGTGTAAATTGAATTTGACCTTATGCTTAAG